TTCTTCACTGCCACTGTACCTGCATGCTTACTTTCACTAACTGCTTTTCAAGGACACCCAGGTCTTGTTAGACCTTCCCTATTCCCAATTTATCACCATTCAGATAATAATCTGCCTTCCTTCTCTTGCGACCAAAATAGATACATTATACTTCATCATTCATACACTTGCCCACTCTGGATTTTATTGAATTCAAAATCTACCAACTGCCATCATGGGATTCGTACCTGGGTCCCCAGAACATGATCAGGGTCCCTGCATTACGAGACAATACCACTAGGCCATTGCCTCCCTCATGTCTGGAAGCAGATGGGTGTAAATGCTTTAGCTTTGTCTTTCACACTCATCACATCAACTGTCCTATCAATGAGGATAGGAATATTCTTTGAGCTTCCTGTCCCATCAGTCCATTCAAGATTGGATATGGCACAACTGCAGAGTTTTAATCTGGTCAGTTGGCTCAAATCGGTTGTTACTGCCATTGGCTAGCATGTATGCAGTCCTCAGTTGAAGCTTCACAGATTGGGAACCTCATGTTTTTGGTGCAAGTGATGCCTGCTCTGTTGCATTCATCAAACAAACCAGGTATGGTAACATGACAAGGTAGTAAGAGTCAAGTGAGATATATTGACACAAGAGGTTACAGATGGTGCTTAAATAAAAATCTACTTTTGCTATTGATAGCCGACAATGCTTCATGGTTGCTCTGTTTGCTGATTTTTTTTCCCATTTACTACAGTAGCAATGCCACAGAATATAGGTACCCTCAATGTGAAGATGGGACTATCAGTCCACAATGACTGTGTGATGTACCCTCTTACTAACACTGTTGTGATAGGTGAATCTATGATGGATGATTTGTGCAGGTGAGGTCAAGTTGATTATTCTCTTATGATGGTTCTCTAATCAAATGCTGCATCCCAGTCCCTATTGAGAGGAAATTGTTCATTGTTTAAGATATGATTGAAGGTCGTACTTCTTTTTATATATTTGACATTATATCACGGGTCGGGATTCAATGTTGAGGATGCCTATTTCCTGCTAACTGTGCACCACTGCAGGATTCTTAGCCCCTGACCTGCTCTTACTGCTGCAGTTATATGGCTAATCCAGTTCAGTTTCTGGCCTGTAACTCCCAGGATGATTGATTCATGCTTCACTGATAGCATACTGGAAATCAAGCTACTTATTCCCAGCATCCTTAGAAAAGTTAAATATTTATCAAAGCTTGCAAAATTCCCCAACTTACCTGTCTTTTTAGACCCAAGTTAATAAAAAGTATGGACCAGATTTCTGTACTTAACAAGAGTTACTACTTATTACAAATATATAGGTCTATCTACAAATAAACAACAATGAAATGCCACATGTAATTCTACTAGTTAACTCCCTTATAAAACTCTCCCTACACACACACATACACACACACACACACACACACACACAGGTAGACACAGAGACACAAAAACAATGTTGGTGTTATGTGTGGCTGGGAAGACATTTCAATGGACTCTGTTCCCAAGGTTTGCTGTCATGATCCTTTGGGCTTGCCAGGTAAGTTCACTTGCTTGCAGAAGGCACAGAGTGACTATTTCACAGCTTATAAGGTCACTGACTTATAGTCACAGCTTACAGTAGCTGGCAAGGGAAAATAAACTGACTTTCTTCAGGTTTCAGGTTATTTTTTATTACTGAGTGACAGACAGTACCTCCTTTTCTGGAGGTCCAAAGGCAGCTGACTATCTTGGTCACACACACAAGCTGTTCAGCTACCAGGGAACCAATCACATAAAGTTGGCAGGGAAAAAACTTTTAACATCATTAATTAGTTACCACTCCACAGACCAATCATTGGTCTTGATGCTGGTCGAATCTCCCTTCGTACACATCCTGTCTGCAGATTGTCTGCAGTAATCTTTTCCCTTGGTTGAACAATCAACAGTGTAAATAACCGTTACAGTAAGTGCTGTAGCTTGCTTTTAAGAAATGCAGCAATTTATTTCACAGTCTTTGGCTTTAACCCTTTTCCAATTTCAGTCCACAAACAAAAATACAGAAAAATTAAAATATATGGCCTTTACAACAGTGTGGTGATCAACAGTATAATTGAGCGACAAGAGGTAATTGTTAGATTCTCTCTTTTTGGAGATGGTCATCGCTTGACACTTGTGTAATGCAAACATTACTTGCTACTTGTCAGCCTAAGATTGGATGTTGGCTTGGATACGGACTGCTTCAGTCCCTTAATATTGTACAGTTACCAACAAATATCACAGAAAGGGTAATAGTACAGAATGAGGCCATTTGGCCCATTATGTATGAAATTATGATAGAGGGTAGGTCATCGAAGCAGCTGAAGATGGTTCCCTGTAGGACAGTATACTGAAAAACACCTGCATTGATGCCCTGGAGCTGAGGCGACTAACCTCCAACAATCACAACTATCTTCCTTTTTATGACCATTTATGATTCTAAACAGCACTGAGTTTTTTTTTTGCCTAATTCCCATTGACTCTAGATTTGCTCGGACTACTTAATGCCACACTTGGATAAATCTGGCCTCGGTGCCAACCTCATCTCTTGTCATGTTACCTCCTATAAATTGTGCATAAACAATCCCGTGGCTTCTTGGATGTCCTTTAAAATTGCAGCATTCTTCTTGTACTGTTTTTCCTACTTTTCTGCATTGAATTTCATCTCCCAAGACTCTGCATGTTTCACCAGCCTATGTCCTCTTAAGGTTTATGACAACCTTCCTCATTATTGAATGGTTTAATGCTTCACATCTGCAAATTTTAAAAATTTCCCTAATTTGTTAATAATACTTCCATTTAGGATAACAAGCTTGCTAATCCCTAAACACCATCTACCCTGGTGTGGAATGTCAATTGAACCACACCACCAAGCAAGTGCTGAGTCACTGCAGCCTGCCTCAGGTCTCCTCAGGCCCAAGATCTTTAAAGTTGTTGACTACAAACATCTCAAGAGCTCTTGGCTGAGTAATACTAGGCCTCCACCCATCCTGATTCTTTCCTGTTAGGTCAACAGTGCCTGCTCCCTCATCTTGCTAAAGGTTATTGTGCAATGTGGCAGGAGATAGTTCATGACCTCAGGCAGTCAGCCATCCACTTGTTATTATGGGGACAAACAGTACAAGTTAGGACAGTACAAATGACAGTAAGGACTGCAGATGCTGGAAGCTACAGTCAATAAATATGGAGCTGGAAAAGCACAGCAGTTCAGACAGCTTTGGCCTGAAACGATGACTTTCCTGCTGCTCGGATGCTGTTTGACTGGCTGTGCTTTTCCAGCTCCACATTTATTGCTTCAAGCTAGGATGGAGTTCTGGCAGAATTGGCAGATCTGATTGGCATTCCCACCTATATATGAGAACCTTTCACCTAAGAAGGGGAGGTGAATTCCTAGAGGTCTTATTACTGGATTGTTAATTCAGAGACCCAGATAATGCTTTGGGGACCCAGGTTTGAATCCTGCCACGGCAGACAGTGGAATTTGAATTCAATAAATATCTGGAATTAAGAATCTAATGATGACCATGAATCCATTATCAATTGTCAGGAAAAACCCATCTAGCTCACTAATGTCCTTTAGGGGAGGAAATTGCCATCTTTACCCGGTCTGCCCCATGTGTGACTCCAGACCCACAGCAATGTGGGTGACTCTTAACTGCCCTCTGGGCAATTAGGGATGTGCACTAAATGCTGCCTAGCCAGCAACGCCCCCATCCTATGAATGGATAAAGAAAAAAAATGAATAAAGAAAACCCTCTTGCTTATCAAGAATCTGTTTATCTCTGCCTTAAAAAGATTCAAAGGCTGCTTCCAGCACCCTTTCAAGGAGAGAATTTCAAAGACTTACTGTGAGAAAAAAATCATTATACTGATCTCTACCTTAAATAGGCAACCCCTTATTTTTAGATAATGTCCCCTAGCTCTGGAACCTCTCGAGTAGAAACATTCTTTCTAAATCCATCCTGTCAAGACGTCTCAGGATTTTACATGTTTCATTCAAGTCACCTTTTATTCTTTTTAACACTAGCAGATACAAGCCCAGCCCATTCAATTTTTCCTCATAAGACAACCTGTCCATTTCAGGTATTAATCTGGTAAACCTACTATGGACTGTTTCCAATTAATTTACAAGCTTCCTTAAATGCAGAGACTGATACTGTAGATGGTACTCCAGATGTGGTCTCACATTTCTGAAGCATAACCTCCTCACTTTTGTACTTAATTTCCCTCATAACAAACAACCACATTCTATGAGCATTGGTTATTGCTTGCTGTTGATGCATGTTAATCTTCTGTGATTTACACACTAAAACACTCAGTTCACTGTGCATCTTGGAGCTTTGCAATTTCCATCTATTTCAATAATGTGCTTTTTTTATTCTTCCTATTGAAAATGACAAGTTCACATTTTCCCACAGCATTCTACATTTGCCATATTTCTGCCAACTCAATCACCAGGGAATGGCTGTCACCTATTCTGTTGTTTTGAAACAGGTGCAGTGTTTGAGCATGTTCTTTCTGCCTGCTCTGTGTATCTATATATATATATGTTCTGCAAGCCCAACTGACAGTTATAAATTGGTAGTCAGTGTAATGTTTTGAATACTTAGGATTATTTAGCTAGTTTATTTCTCAGGACAATGCCTTGATCAGTCAGAGTCAGCCCACTTGATCAAAAATTTAAATAAAGCTTGGATGTTTACTGCCAGTCATCATTAACTGGTGCACTCTCCATGGAATGCCTCTACCATTCACAGTCCCCAAGTAGCACACTCCTCTCATACTACATAACAATTGTTGACTTTTTACTTTAATATTTCTTGCAAACTATCCTGTAGGTACAAGATGAAAACCTTTATCAAAATATGTCTTTTTTAAGCAATTCTCAAGTCCTATACAATGAGATGACTGTTTGAATATTAGAATATTTAAATTATTATTAAAATTCTTTTTAAAGTTCAAACTTACCTTCTTGTATTCTTTGCAGATATAGTTCAATCTGTTTCACACTGGTTTTAACAATTTCTAGCACTTTTTCCCACACCCACCATTTGCTATGCAGTGCATAAATAATGTGCCAATTTTGATGCTCCACTTGATAATATTTCCAGATAGCGCTAATCTCATGAATATACGATGAGTTTCGAACAGTCAGAATTTGAGAACTGTCATGGAGTGGATAGGTCCTGTCAAGCAAGATGAAAAGGAATGTAACGCTCCATGCGTATGAAGTAAAACGTTAATGTTAAAATATGATTTAAATTGATGTTACTGAAAATTGGCCAGATCTACTTTTAAAATTGAATAACCAACAGAAAATGAGACTGCACTGTGGTGAGTAACATTCTAAAATCTGACTTAAAAGCTTTGTTTGTCTTTCATAGGACATTGCATGCATTGATAGCCCAGACTCACTTGGTCTCTGTCCCAAGTGAAGTTGTAAATATGGAATCATTTTGCGAAATTCTGTGAATTGAATGGAAACATTTCTACGGCTATGATATTTAAATTCTGATGTTTAAGTGCAACAATGAGTTTGATACTCTGATCAAACAAATGATCCATAAAGATCATACAAGTTTCTTCTCTTTTACTCAGATATCTCCAGTTTCTTTTTCCCAAATAGAGGCAGAGCTCTGTTCTAGATGTTCCACAGGAAAATAAATCAAAGCTAGTAATGTAAATATAGCATGGATTAATAAGGCTGTGGATGTAATTCAGTGCGATGTGTCACAATGCTCTGAACATTATCTCCCTAAGATAAGTTAAGTACTTTAACTAGTGAATTTCAATCAGGATAAATAGAATATTTATTAAAATATTAAGAATTATAAGAATAATAAGATAACATGAGGGTGATGTGTAGCAACTCCAGAACAAAGGGGCTCATGTGATCCATGGTAAATGCATTTACAGCAAGTTTCTGCAGTTGAACAAACATCTTGTTCAGAGTTATTGTGTTGGAGACCATACTGCAGACTCTGTGACACATCATAAGGAGGATAGTTATCCGGACACTCCAAGAGGGCAGTCACACTGCTGAAGATTGTGTCATTTGGTTTAGTCCAAGGTTAGGAACAAGATGGCATAACTAGAATTGGGGTTGATATGAGATCAAGAAAGTGGAGGAGCCTGAGACCTTGCAACTGTCCAACAGTTTCAAGATTCCTGCAGCCTGTAGAGACAGAAGTGGGTCCTGTAGGGTGGATGAGTGAACTGACCACGGCAGCCAGGTATAGAAAGCTATACAGACTTCAGGGTAGAGTGAATAGGAATGCAGTGATAGTAATGGACAGTATAGTCAGGGGGATAGACACAGTTCTCTGCAGCCAAAAGCAAGAATTCAGAAGGCTATGTTGCTTGTCCAGTGTCAAGGTATGGGACATCTGCTGTGGGCTGGAGAAAAACTTATAGTGTGGTGGGAGGATCTAGTTGTCAAGATCCACTTATGTGCCAATGATATAGATAGGACTCAGAAACAGGTTCTGAGTATACAGTATAAGCAGCTAGGAGTTAAATTTAAAAAGGTGAAATTCCAAGGTAATAATTTCTGGATTATTACCTGAACTGTGAACAAATTGGAGAAGAGTAAATAAGATTACAGAGTTAAATGTAAGCTCAAAGATCTGTTTCATGGAACACTGGCACCAGGAATGGGGAGCTGGGAGGTGCACCTGAACCTGCTAGGACTAGTGTTCTGTCAATTTATAAAATGAGGGTGGTAAAGATGGCTTCGAACTAAATAATAGGGCTGAGAAATCAATGTGGAAAGATGTTATTAAAGAGACAGGACAAGCAAGACAATAAGGTAGCAAAAAGGGAATTGACAATCTAAGCATGGCAGAAAGGGACTGAATGTGCCAATAGATTGGGCCGTGGGGTTGCAAAGGTAATAAAAAAAATAGAATTAAAGTAATTCTACCTGAATGCACAAAGCATTCACAACAAGGTAGATGAATTGATGACACAAATAGATGAAAATCGATATGATCCAGAAGCTTTGGAACTCAGTTTCAGCATTATTAATAACAGTTACAGTGAAACAATAACAGCAAAAGGTACATTAGTGAGAGAGGATCTTCGATTGAAAGATCAAGTCACAAAATCAGTTTGGATGGAGCTAAGGAACAGCAGGTAGATAACATTGGTAGAAACTGTTTATACATCACCATACAGAGATGGTAATATAAGGCACTCTATAACTCAACAATTTTTGTGCATTAGGAATGCATTGATTATGAATCTTGTTATAAAGGATCCTCCAAGGAAGAGTGGCCATAATATAACAGAATTTCACATTATGTTTGAAAGTGACATAGTTCAATCTGAAGTCAGGATTTAATCTAACAAAGCAAAGTATGAAGGGATCGGGGAACAATTGGCTGTGGTAGATTCGCAAGCTACATTAAAAGCTATCATGGCAGATAGGCAAAAATGAGCATTTAAACACTGAATATTGATCTACAGCAAATTTAATAAACTGATAAAGAAAGAGAAAATAAAATATAAAAACAAATTAGTCAGAAACATCAAAGTGCACTGTAAAAGCTTCAGTAGGTTTGTTAGAAGGAAAAAAATAACCTAGACAAATACAGGCTCACTGCAGGCAGAAAGATGTAAATTCATAGTGGGGAATAAGTTAAAGGCTGACATACTAACAAATACTTTGTCTATCCTTGCAGAGGAAGGTACATAAAACCTCCCATAAACACTGGAAACACAAGAAACTAGTGAGAAAGAGGAACTAAAATAAATTAGTATTCATGAGCAAAGTAACACTGGATAAATTCATAAACTGAAAGTTAATAAATCTTCTTGAACCGATGTCGACAATCAGGAATGTGGAAAGCGTTAGCAGTTGAGACAACAGATGCATTGGTGGTCATCTTCCAAAATTATACAGGTTGTGAAACAATTCCTATAGACTGTAAGGTAGCAAATATAAGCCAACTATTTAAAGAAAGTGGGGAATTTCAGATCTGATAACATGACATCAGTAGCAGGGAAGAGGCTATAATCTATTTAAAATGATGTGATTACTGTACATTTAGAAATAATGATAGGATTATTGTGTTGTGGGTGTGTGATTTCTGTACATTTATAACATTTATTTTAGGGTTTGGATTTTGAACGTGTAGCATGTTTGTTGTGATCTATGTGTATGAGGGGGTTTAATAATTAACTTCTTAGTCTTCCTGGCACCTTGATTTCAAACCAGTATGTGTCCTACAGCAGGTAACTGGGGCCCTCTTGGAGTGGTGATGTTTGTTGAACAGGCATGGCTTGCGTCTTGTTTGGAGGAGTCAAGAATTTATTTTTTGCTTGAAAAACACCTACAGATAGGAATGCCTGTGAGTTTTGGTTTGCACAAGACCTGGATGAATGATGGGATAGTTCTCCTGAAGAAGGGAGTTAGTTCAGACCAGTTAGGAAATAACAATGCATGGGTTTTAGTTTGAAAATTTCAGACCAGAAGAGTGATCTCAGTGAAGCATAGAAAATTCTTACAGAGCATGACAGTGTAGATGGAAGAAGGCTGTTTCCTCTGGCTGGGGCATCTGGAATGGGGGAATATAAGCTATTTAAGACATTTAAGACGAAAATGAGGAGGAAACTTGTCATCAAAGTATGGCAAATCTTTGGAATTTCCATCTAAGGGGCAGTGAAAGCTTAGTAATTGAGTATTTACAAGATTGAGGTTGGTAGATTTATAGCTATTAAAGATATCAAGGGATATCTGTGTAACAGAATGTCCAGATGTAGATGACAATGGTGAGAGAGGACAGCTCAAGTATTTGTGCCAGGACCTCCAGCAGAAGCAGGTGGTGACTAAGAGAGAGGGCATTGGGCACAGCATCTGGGCAGTCAAATAGGCTCTCTCTGGAGGAAAGGGTGTCTTTGGGAGAAGCAGGCCTCGTGGGAAGGAGGAGGACTGATTCCTCAACCAGGTGTGAATCACAGACATATTGTACAAATTGTGTCTTTCTTGTTTAACCTTAATTTCCCTTCAGGTTAGCAATGACTGGATGCCAATGGAATTACAAACCTCTGCTTCATGATCTTTGGACCTTCCATGTGTTCAATCTCATGTCATTTGGAGATAATGTAGTAAAATGGAGTTGACATAGAATATTAGTCATTATCTATTTGAATGGTGGAGCAGGGCAAGCCACTGATCAGCTTATTTCTGTTCCTATTTCCTATATTTCAAATACTCTATCCCAATCTAATGTTTATGGTTACATTCATATGAGTAGTCACAGGTAATTTGTGTGTCTGAAGAATGTATGCCTTGTTACCTGTCTGGTGACTTGCTGTCAATGAGACCTCTTTTCAAAATCTCTTTTATATCTGCTTGCAGTTCTATAATTTTAACAGGTATTATTTTACAATTGTTCATGAGATTTATTTGATGTCTGGTCACTGGATAGCCATCTAGGACAAATCTGTAAAATTAAAATTTGTAGACACAATTAATTTAATTCATTGAACTTAACCAGAAAGTATCATCCAAGATATACTGATATACTAGGTGAAGCATAAAGTCACTTAAAAGGGATGTGGGGTGGAATGGAGGGGCAATGTTGTGGTGATAGTGGTAAAGATACTCAGATCAAGACTTTGGTCAGGTTTTGGTTAGGAGTTCTTGGGACCGTAGTCATGACTAGAAATGGCCATCAGGATCTAGATTCCCTGAGTGTTGACTGTGATAGCACTAGTTGCTTTGTCCTTTTTGTCACCTTGAATTGCTTGTATCAGCCATAGCTCAGGTAGTAATATGGTTGCCTCTTTGGAGGTTTAAGTCCTTCTCCAAGACTTAAGTTTAACAATCTAGGCCAACATATTAGCACAATACTAGAAGTGTATTACACTGTTAGGGGTGTCATCTTTTAGATGAGATGTTAAAGCACAGCCCTGTACTCGTAAAAGATCCCATGGCATGAAGAGCAGTGGAGCTGCCCCTAGTGTACTGGCCAATACTTAGCCCTCAATTGTTGTTACAGAAATAAATTATCTGGTCTATATCACACTGTCATTTATGGGTGCATGCTGTGTGCAATTTGCCTTCATTACAACAGTGACCGTACTTCAAACATTTCATCAACTGTAAAGTGCTTTGACAGATGTAGTGGTTGTGAAAGGTGCTATGTATAAATTATTTGTTCATCCCTACCCAGAGGTAAAGGAAACCTCTTGTTTATCTTTAACTAGAAGTATTGTACATTTCTTACTTGTCATTTTAGAACTGTCGCACCTGAGAAACATAATTTAAATTTTCAGCCTTTGTGGAAAAGTTTGGATAGCCCCATCTAGGGTAATTACTGTAATTACTGTATAACAGAGCAAGTTGACATGGAGCTTTTAATGTTTATTGCAAATGTTAATACAAAAGTGTGACAACAGAAGAACGGTTTTTTTAGATGAACAGAATTTAAAAATAATTGAAACATACCCTCTTGTGTTGCATATGACATCCATTAGGATGAGTTCAATACATTTTATAACAAATTCATCTGGTACTACCAATCCCTTTTGCAGATGTTTCAAAATGTGAATAGCCAGTTCAGTTTTCTTCTGAGTGGCCAGAATGGTGCGAACAGCTTCTCCTGCTGAAATGCGTAGAACTCCAAACTCACTGACGAATCTCTTAGCCACTGTAACACAAACAATAGGTGTATCCTGAGGATAAATGACATAGCCTAAGTAATCAGCCTGCACAAAGAAAGCAGATATAGAGAAGACAAAACACAGCTACAGAAAAACAAGTTGCAGGTGCCGTCTTTGGCCCATGAAGGAATGTTAATAAGACTCATCCAAGGTCATGCAGCTTGTCAAGTATCATCAACAATTTTAGCCAATCAGCCCTCCTATACATCGTCAGCTTACAAGAATGCCCTCTGGTCTTTGAAAAATCCACCGTGGGAAAAAGATTCTCAAGTTCTACTCTGTCAACGCCTTTCATAATCCTATTCCTATCCCTCAATGTGCCTTCTCTGCTCCAAGCAAAGCAGACGTAGCGTGTCAAATGTACCTTCATAACCGAGACTCTTCATCCCATGCAACATTCTTGGATATGAGATCAAGAAAGAAGTGGTGCTGGGTCTCTTGAAGAACATTAGGGTGGATAAGTCCCCAGGGCCCAATGCTATCTACACCATGTTATTAAGAGAGGCAAGATTGCTGCGATCTTGACCAAGATCATGGTATCCTCACTAGCCATTGGGGATGTCCCAACGGACTAGCAAGTAGGTTCACGAAGGGGAAGAGGGATAATCCAGCAAACTATAGACCAGTGAGTCTCACATCAGTGATTGGGAAGCTACTGGAGAGAATTCTTAGGGATAAGATTTATGTTAGGGACTAAATATGGACAGTCAGCATGGCTTTGTACAGGGCAGGTCATGTCTTACTAACTTGATTGAGGTTTTTGAGGAGGTGTCAAAGGTGATCAACGAGAGTGGAAGAGTGGATGTTGTCTATGTGGATTCTAGTAAGGCTTTTGACAAGGTCCCAAATGGTAGGCTCATCCAGAAGATCAAGATGCATGGGATCCACAGTGACTTGGCTGCATGGATTCAGAATCGGCTTGTTCATAGAACACAGATGGTCGTGATGGAAGGGTGTTTCTGAAGTTGGACTTGTGTGACAAGTGGTGTTCCGCAGGTATCTGTAGTGAGACCTCTGCTGTTTGTGATATATTTTAATGACTTAGGTGAAAATGTAGATGGGTAGGCTAGTATGTTTGCAGATGACACAAAGATCAGAGGAATTGTGGATCGTATAGAAGGTTGTCAAAGGATAGCACGTGATATACATCATTTGCAGATATGGGTGGAAAAATGGCTGATGGAGTTTAATCTGGAAGGGTGTGAGGTGCTGCAGTTCGGGAGATCAAATGTTAAGGAAAAGTGTACAGTTAATGGCAGGACCCTTATCAGCATTAATGTACTGGGAGACTTTGGCATTCAAGTCCATTGGTGGCACAGTGGTTAGCACTGCCTCACAGTGCCAGGGACCTGGGTTCGAATCCACCTTCAGGCGATTGTCTGTGCGGAGTTTGCACATTCTCCCCATGTCTGCATGGGTTTCCTCCAGGTGCTCCGGTTTCCTCCCACAGTCCAAAGATGTGCAGGCTAAGTGGATTGGCCATGCTAAATTGCCCACAGCGTTCAGGGATGTGTAGATGGGTGACAGGGAAAAGGTAATGGGTCTGGGTGAGGTGCACTGAGAGTTGGTATGGACTTGTTGGGCCGAAGGGCATGATTCTACACTGTAAGGAGTCTATTCTATTCTAATAGATCTCCTAAACAATCAAGACAAGTTGGTAACCACCTTAGAGCAATAGTCATAACAGCAAAAGAATACTCATTATTTTTCCTGAAGTCCAGTTTATTAAAGGTAGATTTACATGGGTAAGAATCATCCTGTTTATGTATGCACATAATGTTGATAAGAAATTAAAAAACAGAAACTGGATGGGGTTATTCAGCCTTTGAACCTGCATGACTATTCCAGAAGACAAAGGAACAGAAATAGGCAATTCAGCACATCGGCTCTTCTCTGCCATTCAACGAGATTGTGGCTGATCTGCTAATCCTCAATATCATTTTCTTGCCTTTTTTCCATAACCCTTGACTCCCTTACTGATTAAAAATCTGTCCGTATCAACCTTGAATATAGTTAATGACCCAGCCTCGACAGCCCTCTGTGGTCAAGAATTCCACTGATTCACTACCCTGTGAGAGAAGAAATTTCACCTTATTTCTGTCTTAAATGTGTGACCTCTTATTCTTGAAATTATGCCCAAGACCTAGACTCTCCCACATGGAGAAACAACCCCGTCAAATTCCCTAAGAATCTTCTTTGTTTCAATAAAGTTACCTCACATTCTTCTTTATTCTAATGAATACAGGCCCAACTTACTCAACCTCTCCTCATAATACAGCTCCAATTCCAGTACCAGGCTAGTGAACCTTTTCTGGACTGCCTCCAATGCCAGTATATCTTTCCTTAGATAATGGATCCAAAACTGTTCACAGTATTCCAGCTGCAGTCTGACTACTGTTTTATATAATTTTGGCAAAGCCTCCCTACCTTAATTCTCCATTCCCTTTGAAATAAAGGCCAACATTCCATTTGCCTTCCCAATGACCTGCTGAACTTGAACGCTAGTTTTTGTGATATATACAAGGACTCACTAACCTCCCTGTTCTGTAGCTTTCTGCAGTCTTCCTCTATTTAAATAATATTCAGCTCCTCTGTCCTTTCTGCCAAAATGCATAACCTTACATTTTCCCACAATATATTCCATCTGCTAAGCTTTTGTTCACTTGCTTAACTGGTCTATATTCCTCTGCAAAGTCACCACATGCCTTATCAAATGTAACCACAGCTGATCTTCTATATTAACACAATTTTTCTCCACCATCTTCATATCCCTTGATGTACTTAATAAGTAGAAATGTATCAATTTCAGCCTTGAGCATAATTGACCATTCTGGGGCAAAGAATTCCAAAGATTCACCTCCCTCTGAGTGAAAAAATGATTGAAGCAAAAAGTTGAAGTTTTCTGATGATTGTTGACTTAACCATTTAATTCCAACTTCTATAGTCAACAATCCCTCCAGTAATTCATGGCTTAATGCAGGCCATTTTTTTAATGTTAAATCTGAACAGAACTCTATGGCTCCATTTATCTATTATAGTATTGCTAACACATCTGTGTTCCATTCAGATACTATAGGTCCACCACCTCACACCCACATATGACAGTATTGCCTTAGCTGTAAAGGCAGCTTGTTCCGATAGAACACTGAAGCTCTTTCTATTTGGCCCAAACTACATAGACTCCACTTGTGTATTCGATGATCCAGAGGCTGAAAAAGCTGCATTACTCAATTTATGTTTAAAATTTACAATATACTCCAGATTAATGGACAACCCAGTTGGTTTGGATTGCAGTTTTAGAAAGCTGAACAACACTAAACATAAACAAAACTCATCAGGCAGCCATTTCTCCCCCTTGAACAGTCGGTCCTTAAATTCCAAGCTTCTACAACACAATTCAACCATTTCAAACCTTCCTGAAGAGACCAATAGGACGACTTCTTAGTTTAGGAATCTTGGGCACCTATCCATTTCCTAACTGTAGAGCAGGGCTCTTGTGGTGCAGTAGTAGTGTCTCTGCCTCTGAGCCTGAAGCCCTGGATCAGATCTCTCCTGCTTGAGATGTGTGTCATAAAATCTCTGAACATATTAATTCTAAAACAAAGTTTGTTTAGAGCAAAGTCTTTACTTTGAGCTACATGGTTAAATGAGTGTCAAAAACATATGTTACACCCCATTGCCCATAATAAATGAGGTATGTTTTCATTGATTCCACATACGAATGTAACCAGTAATATCACTACAACACAGTTTTAAATCACAGTTTTGGTAATTCTGGTTTGGATTTTTCTGGAACAATAATGATGACGCTATCAGCATTCACTATTACTATTGGATTAACCTGACAGTAATTTACAGCATTCACACAAACACAATTAAACCTGGAAATCCAGAAGCTGATGTCAGACATACCCTGTTCTTCACATGGCGCATTGTTACAGTCTTCACTGATTGACTTGAAACTGAAAAAACTACAAGGGTATAAATTTAGGATTAAGGCCCAGTAGTTCCATACATAAAATGGATGAGAGAGTTAGGGCTACTGTAGTCGGAAATAAATGTGTTTTTAACACCATAAATAAGTAGAAAATGTATTAATCTGTATATTCTGAATATAGTTTTGTCTGCCATTTATTCCATTCCCTCAATCAGAGAGTCATAGAATCATACAGCAAGGAAACAGACCTTTTGGTCCAAGTCATCTGCACTAACCTGATATCCTAATATGATCTAGCCAGCATTTGGCCCATATCCCTCTAAGCCCTTACTATTCATATACCCATCCAGATGCCTTTTAAATGTTTTAATTGTACCCACCTCCCCTATCAACTCTAGCAGCTTCTTTCATACATATACCACCCTCTGTGTGAAAATGTTAGCCCACAGATCCTTTTCAAATGTTTCCCCTCTCACCTTAAATCTATGCCCTATAATTTTGGACTCCCCAACCCTAGGAAAAAGAGCTTGGCTTTTCACCCTATCCATGCCTCTCATGATTTTATATACCTCTATAAGATTGCCCCTCAGTCTCCGATATTGAAGGGTAAAAGCCCTAGATTACTCAGACTCTCCCTATAGCTCAAACTCTCCAATCCCAGCAACATTTTTGTAAATCTCTTCTGCACCCTTTCAAGTTTAGCGGCATCTTTCCGATAGAAGGGCGACCAGAATTGTACACTGTATTCTAAAAGTGGCCTCACAAATGTCCAATATAGCTGCAACACAATATCCCAACTCCTATACCCAATATTCTGACCCATGAA